AAAGTTATGGATAAAAAGTCTTTTAACCATTTAGGTATAAACATTTCGAGCCCTAACCGCCAAAATAACGTAAGCGACATTTTTTTCAAAAATTTATTTTTGATGCAGAAATATTCCTAGAGCTTCTAGATACATTTCTGCCTCAAAAAGAAAATTTTGAAAAAAATGTCACTTACGTTATTTTGGCGGTTAGGGCTCGATATGTACGTACATAAACATTTATTTGAGGTGTTTTGGGGTCAGTACGAGGCGTGTCCCGTTTCTAATGATGAAGAGGAATGCTCTAGCCATCTCTGGTTGTTCAATAGTTCGAATATTTTCAAATTCAATGAATTGACTATTAATTCAGTTACTTCATGCGACATTTGAGAATTAAAATAGAGGTAAAAAATGTGAAATAACAGAAGCATACTCTTAGGCTCCCTCTTTGCGAAGCGGTCAGATAGGTCCGCTAGATTGAGCCTTCGTTTAGACGTCAAGTGAGCAATTGGTAATAAATATTTACTGCTGAAAATTCATCAGTGATGGTTACCACTACTCATATATCCTATAGCCCTTTCGCTTGAACAATACATTGTTGAACATTTTGTTTAAACACTTTGTGTAATATGTAACAGTTAAATTGTGACTTAAGATAAAGACCGCATTTCTGAGCACACAAATCCGAGTAAATAGCTATGTATGTACATACACACACATATTTGTGCCTGTAAAAATAGTTATAGTCTTCCTACCAGACATACATACTATCATTATACATGTATGTATCCGCTATATGTATTCTACATACATATGTATCTAAAATTTTCCACCGCACTTGTAGGTACGTGGAAATGCGTGTTCGAGTGGATAATATCTTTATACGCTTCTGGTGTTTGCAATTAGCGAAATCGATATGGTCACCTTGTCTGGCGACAGTCCACGACAAAGATGGAGTATCAAATCAAAACAATTAATTTTACGAGAGCTCTTATAATTTCATGCAACTCGCACATTCGTATTGACAAGTCATTGTTTATTTCTACGTATGTACTATATGTTTGTGTGTATGTACATTAGACCGCATCACTCCCTATACAAAAACAAAAAAAAAATCGGTACCCTTTTTCATTGGAATTATAAAACCTATTATATTTTAAGACTTCCACCAAAATATCTCGGAAAAATATTAAGATTTAAGTGAGCTGGACCGATTTGAAAATACCTTCAAAAATTGAGTTTTTTATTAATAAAAATAGTTTTTTTAAGTATTTTTTTGTTTAAATCACCTCAGATGACCAAACAGTTGAAGCTAAAAACATTTGCAAAAAATATTTTAAAAAAAATTTTGCATAAAAATATTTTTTTAAAAATTTTGTATAAAAATATTTTTCAAAAAATTTTCTATGGAATTGGACGCTGTTTTTGAACTTTTTTCAAAGACTG